ACGATTCATCTTCTAATTGCAAGATTCGGTAAGAATAGCACATAAACACCAAGGATGCTAATTAATCATCAAGAACATCATAATCATCAAGAACAACACATAATCATCAAGGATCCCGAATTAATCATCAAGAATATCATCATTATCAAGAAACTCCCAATTATCAAGATTATCAAGATTTCCCATGGAATCATCAAATCAACATTAATAATAATCACCATAATTTCGCCATTCACAATAATATGGGGGAAACACTAAGGGGGAAATCATAGCTATGAAAATAGGTTTTGTTGAGACATGGGTTACCTCTTAGCCTTAATTAATTCCTTGGCTATGAAGGGTCTTTCTTTAAGCTTTCTTGCTTTCTTCTAGGGGAATTCTTGGAGCTCTCCTGGGGCGATGGGGCGTTTAGGCGTGTGGGGGGGGGGTTCTAGGTGTCTCCTAAGTTCCCTATTTATATATTTAAGACTCCTAATTAGGGCCTGAATGGTATGGGTTTGCTAATTCTATTCCTTATAGGACTCAGGGACTTGCTTTAGGGATAAGGGTCCATATTAATTAAAGCGGATCCTAATCACAATCTGAATAGTAAAAGGTTTACTATCTTTATTCCTAATAGGCTTAAGCCTCTAATTTAGGCAAGGGCCCACGGTTCATGGTGGACCCTATTAATTAATTAAAGGGGAACTTAACATAATTAATCATATTTAATTATTTTTAGCGGGATTAATTAAATAATTAATCCAGGATTAAAGGCCGTAACACGGGGTGTCACACCACCACAATCGAATACAGACGTTTTGTTGGAAAAATTGATTAAAGGTCAGTTAGAGATGACAGAAAGGATGGATAAAATGGAAGCTCGCCAAAATCTGGTTGAAAGGCAATTAGCAAATCAACCTTCTATATCAAGTACTAAAGTCACAGGGAAGTTGCCAGCTATGCCTGAAAATCCAAGGGAGCATGTAAATGCAATTGTTACAAGGAGTGGCAAAATACTTGAAGAGCCACCCCTTCCAATCAAAGCATCAATTCCTAAAAAGACAGTTGAGGAGAAGATTGAAGAGATACTTGGTGGTATAGAAGATGAGCCAATTGCTGTCCAAAATAATCCACAAGTTCAAAAGGAAGTAGAGAAACCTGTGAGAAGGTATGTACCCCCTTTGCCTTTTCCTCAAAATCGTGAAACAACAAAAGAAAGTAGGTGGAAAAAGTTTTTGGAGATTGTTGAGAGTTTGAAAGTTTCAGTTCCCTTACTTGATTTGCTTTCACAAGTTCCCTCTTATGGAAAATTTTTGAAAGAGATTCTAGCTAAGAAAAAGAAATATGGGGAACGAGAGATGGTAGTTGTGGCTCAAGAGTATCAAGCGTTGACCCCGGGAATTGGGAGGAATATACCTAAGCATAGAGATCCGGGGAAGTTCACAATTCCTTGTGTGATTGGAGCTGAGGCCGACCTTTAAAGGGATCCCTTTGTGATTTAGGAGCTAGTGTGAGTGTTATGCCTCTTACTCTTTGTCAAGAGTTAGGGTTGGGAGAACCAAAACCAATCCAATTCACCTTAGAAATGGCGGATAGATCCATCGTAAAGCCTATTGGAATTCTTGAAGATGTCCCAGTCCGTGTGGACAAGTATTTTGTGCCTTGTGATTTTATTGTGATAGATGTCCGAAGGAACCTAGACGTTCCACTCATTTTGGGGAGACCCTTCCTAGCCACTATTGGAGCAATGATTGATGCAAGGAAAGGGTCCATGATTTTTGACTTTGGGGAGGAAAAGGTGGAATTTAATGTTCTTGATGAGCCAAAAATCATTGAATGCAAGTCAATCTTGCACATCGATCCTACTCTCAAGGTGACACATGATGAGTATTTGCATTTGAAGAGTCTATGGGGTGATGAGATCAAACTCGCGGATCAACCAGGATGAGCACTCCATAACCAGGTTAGGTCGAGCTAGCGACGTTAAACTTAGCGCTTCATGGGAGGCACCCCATGTTATCTTTTATGTCTTTCATATTTATTGCTTTCTAGTTTAATTTTATTGCTTTCTAGATTCATTTTATTTAGTTTTATTGCTTTCTAGTTCGGGGTTATTTTATTGCTTTTTAGTTTTCTCTTTTCTCTTGTTCTACTTTTCTTTTGCATCAGGGATGATGCAAAGTTTTAAGCGTGAGGGGGAGGAATCATTAATTTGGGGATATTTCTAAATTTTTAAAATTTTTGCTTTTGCTTGGATGACTCATATGCTATTTTTGGTGAATAAGCTACTTGTCTTAGCATGCAGTTACAATTATTCTCTCTTGTTGGTTTGTGGTTTGTTTTAGTGGTGCTTGCTGCATCTCAATTTGTGATGGATGATTTGAGGTGTAACACATATTTGATCTATTCCCTTGCCAATAGCTTTGTTAACCACTTAATAATTGGATTAATTCTTGATCTTGTGTTTTGCATTGCTAGTGAAGACTTATGTGAGATTCCGGTCATGGGTGTTTTGCTAGAACTTGCCTCATTACTCCCTAAGTGATGTCTAAGTTTTGCATGTTTTGAAGTGATTTAGGCCATTTTTTGTTTAGCCATAGCCTTTAAACCTGTCCCTATATATATTTTTATCCTTCGTTTCCCCATTGTGCCTTTTGTTTGTTCAAATAAGTGCTAAGCACTTATCCCCTCTTTGTGATTGTTTTTCTTTGATTTACCCCATTATTATAACCCTTAGCCCGTGGCCAAATATTTCCCTTCCACCCTTGAGAGAATGAAACTTTTATCTTTATCTTTTCGGTAAGAAGAGTTTTATGGAGTTGTGCTACGAAAAAAAAAAGCAGCTAGTGTTACAAATGTTCAAGTGTGGGGGTCATGAAAGTTTGGATTAAAATTATCTTGCTGTATCCAAAAGAAGTCCAAAGACAAAGAAAAGAATGAAAAGAAAAAAAAAAAAGAGATTGAAAGTTTTTGAGTTTGGATCCCCACTTTACCAAAGAGTTGCTAAGTTCTTAAAAGAAATTTGCTCCTTGGAATTATGATTATCTCATCTCTTCCAAATTTTGAAAAGTTTAGATAAATTGTGACATTCTCTCTTTTTGATTAATTTTCCATACCACTTCTTTGTTAGCCATCACCCGTAGCCCCGTTACAAGCTTAACAAAGTCCTATTTGATCTTAGCATGCATTCTTAGATTTGATCTAGGGGAGTATGAAAGGTAAGCCTATGGGGTCTCATTCATGAGCCGTGTCTTGCATAATCTCAACTGAGTACTTGTACACAATTGATCCTCACACACTTTAAATTCTTGGTGCTTGGTTATTGGCTTGGAAATGGGTCTCCTATGTGCCAAACTAATTTGATTCTTGAAGCTTGTTGTTTTGTAGCAAGTGGGTTGGTGGTTTGAAAGGTTGTGCAAGAGAGAGCATGAGTAATTTGTATGTTTTGACTTGTGATTTTATTCCTTGGTTTTGCTTGAGGACAAGCAAAGGCTTAAGTGTGAGGGGGTGATGTTATCATATCTTTGCTTGTTTTTATAGTTATTTTGAATCATCTCGGTAATTAAGTTCTTTAATTTTACTTATTTAATACATGTTTTCCTTGCTCATATCATTTAATTATGGTTCACACTTGTTTTGAATGTTTTACGGTGTTTGTTAGTGTTTTTGAATCATTTTAGGTCAAAGATATGAGCAAGGGGAGTTCAAGGATGAGTTTGGAGCAATTTTGGACGAGTTCGGGGCCCAGTAAACTCGACGCGTCGAGCCAAGGGCTCGACGCGTCGAAAATTTCCAGTAGCATCACAAAACTGAGCCAAAGAGGCTCGACGCGTCGAGCCTTAATTCGACGCGTCGAGAAGGACGCACGCTAATTACGAAGATTCAAACTATGCGAATAAATTAAAGGCGCTGAATTAAAGAATGGGGCGTTGACTTCCATGCAACCTAATACAACATTTATATTCCTAAGGTGGCGCAAGTCTCAAAGTTACAAGATTTCATTCTTTAAAATAATTTGGTAACATGTTTCCTAATTAAAATGGCGACAATTTCTAAATTAAATCATTTGAGTCCAATTTTGTACAAGATTCCTATTTCATCTCAACTTTGTACCCACTATAAAATCCCCCCTTCCTCAACCCTAATAACAGACCGAGAGATTTTTAGAGTTCTTTGTAGACAAGAAAGAGAGAAATCAAGAGGCTCAAGTCGTCTTTGGAAGCAAGGAGGAAGCCAGGGAGATTTGGGAGAATCGCTGGGTTAATTCTTGTACTCTTCTGATGATTTGTAATCCTTTATTCATATTTGCTATGTATAATTTAGCCATGCTCGGCTAAATTCCTTAGGGATTTTTGGGTGAATTTGTTTATGAACCTATGTGCCTAGTTCGTTAATTTCTTAATATATTTATGTTTGGTTTTATGATTTGTGTTGCAATCTTGTTTTAATATGTTGTTGTTGGTGGTTAAAGGCCTAAATTACTAGCTTCACAGTCATGTTTGTGTCACCAATGGGAGTTGGGGCATAAATTAGGGCACACACGATTGCACCTAATGGTTGGTCCTTGGGAAAGGGGAACTAATTAGGGGAAGTTTATTCTAGATTATTGCTCATCGGGAGATGGTAGTAATTAGGAATAATTGAATGCTGATCTTTGATCTTATTGGGTGTTTAAGCCATGGGAGTGGAAATTCACTAGGAATAGAGATTACGGGAGTAATTCGATTCCACTTTGCATTCCCACACAAATCTTAATTCCAAACCAAATATTACAAACGTTAATTGGCACTAGGTGATTAAATATTGTGATCCCAAGAATCCTATTTTGCTCTATTGTCTACAAAACCTTGCTACTTATTTTATTCTGCTCGTTATTTTATGCAATCAATCAACCTTCAAGTTTTGTTCGGACTAGTTTCATATGAGTAACCTAGTAGCTAGTGATTAGTACACCACCTCTCTGTGGTTCGACAACCCGAATACTCCGGGTATTATTTGTTTGCCCCAAATTACAGCAATCACCTTCCGTACTGCCCCCCCTCCTCCCTCCCTCGCTGCCCCCCACTGCCCGTCCCCCTTCCCTCCAAACTGCCCACCTCGTCACTCACCATTCTACCACCTTCTCCATCCAGTAACTCCTCACGCCAACAAACCCCACCGCCCTTATCCCCTCCCCCTTTCTCACGCTGTATGTTATCCATGTGGAATACATTGGTATTCCCAATTTGCCTCCCAACCAAACTCCCTCCACCGACTCGCCGCATCCCCTTCCCCCCTTCTCCCATTCGACGCAAAACAGCCCCATCCGACAGCCCTCCGCCGGACCGTTCATCCAAAGCTCCGTTCGTCTCCTCCTCACGCCTAATCAAATCGTCATCCATAGCAACGTCTCCGGCCATCGTCCGGACAGAAAGAACCGATCACCGTTGAAAACCTAGGAAAACCCTAGTAGAAAATGCAAAAACCCTAGAGAAAATCTAGAGAGAGAATTTTCCAAATTTGGTAACATAATTATTAGCTTATCAGTCAATTTTGGTTTATTTGACCATGCACTATTAACTGTTAGATTTGGTTAAACAATCCAAATGAGTGTTTGATTAATTAGCTTTTTGTAACAACTCCAAAATGCTAAAATTCAAAAAGTTTCTCAAAGTAGTTTTTTCGATAAGCTTTTTGAAATCAACATATTCATTTCCCAGATTTTTTTTGTCAAATCACGAGGTATCCTGACCAGACCCTAACTGTAGGAGATACATTTAAGCCTGTACTATAATCAGACTAATTCTCATTCTCACCGGGCCGGTCCAATTAAGGAGCAAAGTACTGACCAGACTGATTTCTTCATACGAGAGGGAGTTCGAACTCTCAACCTCTCTTAAGGGAGAAGAGTGCACGGCCACTCACGCCAACCAAGCTGGTTATTTAAAATAGAATCTATAGTACAAGAGGGGTATGTAAGAAAACCTAGTACTGCCGGTCCTGGAATACTCTTTCTGTGGTGCTCGTGTTCTCCTCGACTGTTTCTTTCACCTGGATGGCATTTACCTGTGAACACCAATTATACACCAGTTTTTATTTACATCTCGTCAACATTTGATGCTCTCTTTTTATCTCTCTATTGAAAGTCAGAATCATGAATTGAAACAAAATTAAACTTTAAGAAAAATGTGTAAGCATCAATTGGTAATATATATATATATATATATATATATATATATATGTATGTTAAGCGGGTGTAATTGCATTCTATACAATTTACTTCTCCCAAAATAAAATTAAGTATTCTATTCAAGAAGGTTACTCAGATCAAGTTAGTGCTAAAACTAATTTCTATTAAAACAATGATGATAATGAGATTTTTTTCCTCCGACCCTTTTAGCAGTTTCTATCTATTCTCCACCATGTATGAAACAATGTCTAACTTGTTAATTGTCATAAATTCATAACTGATTGTTCCACACTTTACTGTCAAAGTTTATTATTCTAAACAATTTTTTGTTGAAGAACATTTTAAATTCATCATATGTGGTCAAATCTTATACCTCTGATTTATTTATTTATTTATTTATTTATTTATTACTATTTTTTGTAATTTTCTTAATAGTGGAGCCCAAAACAAGTTCAGCTCTGTGATTTTTCAGTCCTGCAGCTCCAAACTCAGAAAAGTTATAAAAATTTCAACTTCTATAATGCATGAATATTGTTGAGATTAACAAGAACAAGAAAAATAATAATGGCATAAAAGATAAAGAAGGCAAGACGTGGTTCGGTAAAGTGCCTACATTCACGGGATTGAAACAATTCTTATATTCATAGTGATGGTGATAGTGGTGACACAACCCCTTAGGGATACAACCAATATATTTATAAGCATCTAATCCATGTACAATAAGTCTACCCGTTTCACTCCTACTCCTAGTATGAGACAAATTCATATTCCTAATCCATATATGAGACAAACTCAACTAACAATCTCCACCTTGGCGAATATGATCTTTAGGAAAAAAGATAACTCAACAAATCTCCACATTGACGAATATGCTCTTTAGGAGAAAAAAACTTATTTCACCATCTCCACCTTCACATATATGCCCTTTAGGAGAAATACTATCTCTACCTTGGAAAATATGCTCTTTAGGAGAAAAGATAACTCAACAAATCTCCACCTTGACAAATATGTCATTTAGGAGAAAAGACTTATCTCACCATCTCCACCTTCACAAATATGCCCTTTAGGATAAAAAGATTTATCTCACATATACACATGGGTAGGAACAACCATGCTCATCCCAACTAGCCAGCCACACGCATACGCAGCATCAAACGTTACCCAGTGCATGTACACGAACCGCTTCGTCCCGAGCCATTCACCCTCAACCGTCGACTTGTTATACCAGTTGCAACTCATGCGATGAGATAACAGCTTATCGATTCAGTTCCAATAGGATAGGAAATACAATACAAATAGATGAATAGTTCTACGCAAACAAGTCCTATCTAATAGGCAAGCCACAGAAGACTATAACTATTACAAAGACTAATGAATAATATAATAAAATGTAACAATATAAAATATTACTATAGCTAACACACCCCCTCAAGCTCAAGGGTGGTAAGCAACAACATTGAGCTTGTCCCGTAGAGCTGAAAACCGCGGACCTGGCAGTGGTTTTGTGAAAATATCTGCGAGTTGATCCTTAGTTGACACGAAATTGACCAATAAGTCCCCTGACGCGACCTTGTCCCGCACAAAGTGAAAATCAATCTCGACATGTTTGGTCCGGGCATGAAAGACTGGATTCGCACACAGATACGTTGCCCCCAAATTATCACACCAAAGAGTCGGAGGCTCGCCAGTATGTAGTCCAAGCTCCCTAAGCAAAGAAACAACCCAAGTTACCTCCGCAGCCACATCTGCGAGGGCCTTATACTCAGCTTCAGTCGAGGACCGCGCAAATGTACGCTGTTTCCTGGATAGCCATGAGATCAGATTCTTGCCTAAGAACACTGCATACCCACCAGTGCTCTTCCTATCAAGCGGACACGCTGCCCAATCAGAGTCAGAAAAGGCGTGAACTGCTGCAGAATCTGAGACCATAATGCGGAGACCATAGTGTAGAGTACCCTTAATGTAACGCAGCACCCTCTTTGCCAAGGCCTAGTGATCAGTAGTCGGCGAGTGCATGAACTGGCACAACCGGTTTACAGCATACGAGAGATCCGGTCTCGTGATAGTCAGATACTGTAGAGCTCCAACTATACGACGGTACTGTGTTGGGTTTTCATGTGGAGTGGTAGTAGAGGATACAGGCTGTGTTACTGCGACTGGAGTGGCCAACGGCTTGCAGTCCAACATGCCTGCTCGAGTAAGAATATCATTCATGTACATGCGCTGAGACATCATGAGACCGTCGGGAGTGCGTATAGTCTCAATGCCGAGAAAGAAACCAGGTGAGCCAAGGTCCCGTATCTTAAAAGTCGTGGACAAACGCTGCAGTAATGCGGTAATGAGCGTGGGGTCATACCCATCATAATTATGTCGTCGACGTATACAAGAAGGTATACTCGGGAATCAGCAGCGGAGTAGTGAAAAAGCGAGACGTCTGTTTTCGAAGACGAGAACCCTGCGGACAGTAAATAATCATGTAGTCTCTTAAACCATGCCCGGGGGGCTTGTTTGCGGCCATATAACGACCGTTGTAAGTGACATACATGATCTAGATGAGTCGGGTCTTCATACCCCGGAGGTTGTTTCATATACACCGTTTCTGCCAGATGTCCATTTAGGAAGGCATTATGGACATCAAGTTGCCTTAAAGTCCAACTACGTGAGATAGCCAGAGAAAATAGTAGCCGGACTGTTGTCGGTTTGACGACAGGGCTAAAAGTATCAAAGAAGTCTTCGCCCGCTACCTGGTTGAACCCCTTTGCAACCAGTCGAGCATTGTAACGTTCAACAGAACCATCAGCAGTCCGCTTGGTGCGGAAGACCCACTTGCAACCAATAATTTTCATATCAGGTTTAGGAGGTACAAGAGTCCAAGTATTATTGTGTAATAACGCATTGAACTCTTGGTCCATAGCGTCACGCCATTCTGGGTGGCCCACTGCTTGTGAGTAACAAGTGGGATCAGTAGTCATAGTGAGTGCTTGCAACTCTTCACCCGTACCCCGAGTCATATGTCGTAGTCTCATGACATGGCCTCAATCTCGAGGCTCAGTGCGCATGACCCGCTTCCGCCGAGTAACGGCCCAAACAGGGCCTTTAATAGTTAAAGGAGCGGGTTCTTGGGCCAACGGTATGGGACTCGTAGAACGCTGTACAACCGGATCAACAGCAGCCATGGACTCCACTTGTGTTACCACTGGGCTAGATGCCCAAGGAAGAGCCGGTAACATAGATACTGGTTTATCCTGTTCTATCAAGTCTGAAAAAGGAAACACAGTTTCGTCAAAACGTACATGACGACAGATATAGACTTTCCCACTCGTTAGATCCATGCATCTATAGCCCCTAAAGGACGAGGGATACCCTAGGAAGACACAGGGTGTCGAGCGATAATCCATCTTATGCCGATTATATGGCCTAAGATAAGGAAAACACCGACACCCGAAGACTCGAAGGAAAGTGTATGGTGGTGTAGTTTTGTAGAGACGACTGTAAGGACTTTCATTGTTTAGAACATTAGTGGGTAAGTAGTTGATTAATGTTGTGGCTGTTTCAAAGGCGTAGTCCCAATATTTTTGGGGAACAGAGCCTTCGGCTAGTAAGGATAGACCTGTTTCAACTATGTGACGGTTTTTGCGTTCAACGCGGCCATTTTGTTCGTGCGTGTATGCACATGATTGACGATGCACAATGCCCAATTTTTCAAATATAAGATGCAGTTTGCGGTATTCCCCGCCTAAATCAGACTGAACAAACTTGATAGAACGCGAAAATTGGCGTTCTACCATGACTCGAAACGACTCGAAACATTTATATATATCAGATTTTACCCGTAAGGGATAAAACCAAGTAAAACGCGAATAATCGTCTACAAAGAGCAGAAAGTAACGGAATCCACTAGTAGAGATTACATGTGCCGGACCCCATATGTCCGTGTAAATTAAATCTAACACATTCGCACTAGAAGATGTAACTCTATTTATAGGAAATCTAGAGGATTTGCCGAGTTGGCATGATGTACATAATTCAGCTGATTTCGTATTATTAGGTGAAACTAGGCACGACTTTAAGACTTGATTTTGGACATGTGTATGTGGATGCCCCAACCTACGGTGCCAAATGACTGGAGTGGTACGGGATGTGAGAAAGGCATAATGTGACGAAGGAACAGGAAGCTTGTACAACCCGCCTTCCGTAGGACCTTTAAGCAGAACTGCCCGAGTGAGTGAATCCTTCACAATGAAACAATCTTTGTGAAATTCAAAATAGACAGGATTATCATTTGTTAAACGATAAACAGACAATAACGGGACAGATAATTGGGGAACACATAACACATTCGACATATTTAGTGTTTTAGAAACTTTGGACATAGATGCTATAGAGGCATGACCAATTCGTGAGATTGTCAAACCTGCGCCATTACCAACACACAGGACATCCCCACCATTATATTCATCACACTGTGATAGCATGGACGCATCGGGTGTAGCATGCGCCGTAGCCCCCGTATCCGGGAACCAACCTGTGGTAGTCGAACCTGCGGCCGTGTCATCTCCTGGAACGGCAATATTGGCCTGAGGTGCGGGCTGCGGAGCATAACGTTTGAAACAATACAGGGCTGTATGCCCCTGCGCCCGGCATATTTGACACCGAGGGCCGCGGCCACCATTGCGACCACGACCGCCTCCACCTCCTCTGCCGCGGCCCGGATTGCCGGAACCGCCGCGGCCTGCACTCTGCCCGCCTGAGTTGCGCCCGGAGTTTCGGCCACGCCCTGCATAAAAAGCGGCCGGAGCAGCGGAATGATGTTCGGACGCCACTGGATAGTCCTCCACAAGCAAGAACTCCTGTGCCTGGAGATAGTCCGCGATCTGCGGAATTGTTACTGGAGTGCCGGCAGTGGTTAGCGAAGACGCCATGGCTCGGTACTCCTGTCGTAGCCCCCTGAGAACAAACATATTCTGCTCGTCAAGGCTGATGGGTCGGCCGGCATGTGCGAGGTCCTCAACTAGCAATTGTGCACGCCCTAAATATTCGGCAGTGTTGCTGCCACCTTGCCGAAGGGCATGGAATTGCCCGAGTAATCCTAGGCATTTCGCACGGGTGGAGCTCGCAAGGGCAGTATTAATGGAGTCCCAGACAACTTTTGACGTGGTCTGGCCGACCGCAAGATGCATCACCTCATCCGAGAGGGATGAGATGAGGAGAGAGAGCAGAGTTTGATCCTGCTTAACCCACGCCTTATGGACCGGGTTCGGGATCATGGTGGTTGTCGAGGTGGTGGATTCACCAGTTGCCGGGGAGGCATTGATCATCGCCGGGGGACACAGGAATTCACCGGTTACATATCCCATGAGTTCTTGACCGTTCAAAAAGGGCACAAGCTGGGTTCGCCAGAATAAAAAATTACGGTAAGTGAGTTTCATGGAAACGAAATGATGAGCAGTGTTTAGGGGGTTTTGGGCTGGGGAAGAAGATGGAGTTCCATCGGACATCGTGCGCTCAGAAGAGGCAGACATGACGGACGTCGACTGAGAAAAACGAAAAGGAATGAGAATCGGTGGTGGAGAGAGAAACTCAAACCCGGTCTAACTGATACCAGATGAGATAACAGCTTATCGATTCAGTTCCAATAGGATAGGAAATACAATACAAATAGATGAATAGTTCTACGCAAACAAGTCCTATCTAATAGGCAAGCCACAGAAGACTGTAACTATTACAAAGACTAATGAATAATATAATAAAATGTAACAATATAAAATATTACTATAGCTAACACATGCTAACTGTCTCGTTTAGCTGACCTCCTGCATCCGGCTTATACCAGGTCCATGTCCCCTCTTGGTATCCACGCTGCCCCAACACAACAGCGCCCCTGCAAAGTCACACTAAACCCGTGTGCCTTGCCCAATGCTCCACTAACCAGTAATTGCCACTGGTTAGTAACACGCACCACTCAGCATCAAACGTTCCCAGTGCATGTTCACGAATCGCTTCATCCCGAAGCGTCCGCCCATACCAGGTCCACGACCCCTCCTGGTATCCGCGCTGCCCAACACCACAGCGCCCCTCACCACCTTCACATCTAGACTCTAGAAACGCCCAACAAGTCCAAACAATGTTCGAACTTGTTACTAGTTACCGCTAGAACATCACCTTCACTATAATAAGAGTCATCGGCTTGAACCACGTTCATAGCTTCCTGCTTCTTCAACTCCTCCCAATCAGCCTATTCCATATTAGCTGGCTTTTCCGCCCTCAAGGTTTTCAGAAGGCCCTGACGTTGGCGGCGGCAACGACAGTTGTGTTGGTGGTGGGCGGTGGCGGTGGTGCTGCTGGGGTGGTGGTGCTGGTGGCGGCGACGACGACGACGATGGCAGTGCTAGGGTGGTGGTGCTGGTGGTGACGACGACGACGGTGGCGATGGTGGTGAAATAGGAAATAAATTTAATTGGGGGATAAAATAGGAAATAGAAACTTTAGAATATTCTCGAGAACTTAGGAATAGCCTAATACCAGGGGGCCCCCAGGAATCTCTATTCCCCTTGCAAGGGGAATAGGTCAGTCCCGGGAACAATGTTCCTGGAATACAAGTTGTTACCAAACAGAGGAATAAGCCTATTACTGGGAATGCTATGTCATTCCAGGCCTATTCCGTGAACCAAATAGCCCATTAATGTTCAATACAATTATTTAACTCATTTCAAAGAAAATGGATAATTCATGAAGGTGAGGATCAAACATGTGTCCTCAAGTAATGTTGGCTGCTATGTAAAAATGACAAGCCAATTTATCTAACCTGCTTAGTAATACTTATCTTGTAAAAATATTATTTATAATCTTATTTCTAACTCTATAAATAGTTAAATACTCATCCTTTAGACATTAGCTCGATGCTATCATTATTATTATTTACTAGTATTTGTCCCTTGCGATGCACGAAAAATATGTTATAAAAATATACACTATATGAGGTTTATTCATATATAAAATTTTTGTTATTCAATAATTATTATGTGTGAATTCCTATGATAAAATTATGAACATAAATATGTTTACAATTAAAATAATATTTAAGGTGGGTGATTACTACAAATCTTAAACTATATTAAAAATTTAGTACATAGTATTTAATTTTACAAATTTTTAAGAACTTAGTAAACTACAATAGTAATTGAATTGCAATTTTAGAGTCAGATCAAAATTTTTAGACCTTTGAGATTTCTAACTCTAGATGTAGCAATATACAATTGACCTTTAAAGACCTAACAATTATTTATAAATATAAATGACTATTAATCATCATCACCATTTAAAAAAATAATTGTAACAATAATTGCTCACCAAACCATATGACTATATTACAGTTAAAATTTCAATTGTTTTTTTAGAGTTAAAAATGATTTTCAAGTGTTAACATTTACTTTCCTTATCTGGGTTGTCCTTCACTTTTGTGTTCTTTTCCCTTTGATATTTTATAAATAGTTTTCAGGAGTAGTTTTCCCTTTGATATCTGGTTTGGCATCATTTTTAATGCTATATTATTATTTTGTTGCAAAATTCACTATTTCCATGTAATTATATGGGTAATGTATCATATTTTGTTGTATTGCACTAAACATTTTCTTCACTTGTTTCCTGTTATATATCATATGTTTTTCACTCATATAAAAAGTGTTTGCAAAACTTGCTAAATCTTAACTATAATACCAACATGTAATTAATACCAACATTTAACCATTAATATCAACATTTAATTTTCACAAGACCATATGGAACTTGCTAAATCTTAACTATAATACCAACATGTAATTAATACCAACATTTAACCATTAATATCAACATTTAATTTTCACAAGATCATATTGCTTTATTATAATTAAGATTTATTTATTTATTATTTATTTATAAAAAATTTATAATTCTTTTTTGAAATATTCAAACTTCAATTCTTCAGCAAGAATTGAAATTTGAATCTCTTTAGCCGTGGCTATTTTTTTTTTTAATTCACGGTTTGGAACCGGAACCGTGCGGTTCCAAAATTTTATAAACCTTACCGGAACCTTATTGGTTCCGGTTAAGAACCGAAACCATACGGACGGTTCTTTTGTTGCGGTTATTACAGTGACTGTTACGGTTCGAACCGAACCGTGGTCACCCCTACGCTAACATAATTACAAATATGTGAGTTTTAATTCATCTAAAATATTGATACATATGAATCTTAATGTTTATATATATATATATATATATATATATATATATATTAGCATTATTGAATTAAAAAGTTGAAGTACCCTCAATTAGATATAAGTGGGTCAAAATTTTTTTTAAGTATAATTACTTTTTATAAAAATAATAATTATAAAAATTCTGGGCTTAACCCAAAATCGACACACGAGAGACACGGACCCAAGCTCGAGGTAAGCTCGGCACGAGACCGGCCCAGATAATTCAGGGCTGGTCCCAGACCGTGCTAGTCTAGGCCCAGGCCCGACACGGCACTAGCCCAGACTTTGGCCACCTCTACAATTTTACAAAGTTTTATTTGACCCTTATCTCAATATATATACGGAGTAGTTGGAAAGAAAAGTAATCTACGGAGTATTATCTAACCTAGGAGTTTCCTCCACAGATCACGATCTATCGCCTCTCACTCTCTCCTAGTCTCCTTTTCCGTTCTGCGGAGAACAGAACAGACGACCGCCGTAAACGCGAACGTGAACCAGCAACTGGTATTTTTTATACTATTTTATACATATTTATACTGTTTATACTGTATATTTAATATTTGTATGCTTATTAGATTATAATTGTATGTTTATTGGTTTATATTTGTATGCTCAATTTGGCTTATTTGCAAAGGATCATTTAGGTATTATTTCAAAATGCTGCTGTTTATTTATATATTGTATATTGTTGGGTAATATGGTTGAAAATTCCCAAAAATAATAATCCTACGAAAAGATTAATATTATATGGGAAACAGAAAAACTGGGAAGGAAAAGGTTGAATGTTTGGGTATAGGTTTAGCACGAGTTTGAACACGAAGTTCTTTTCCTTAAAACCTTATTTGCTACCTCCCACAAGTGCTAGGAGCGTTGTAGCCTAGGTTTCCCAGGATAAAACGTGCTTCGATTCTTTGTTTAAGCACCTAAACAAAGAACCCAGCAAACAAAGCACATACAGTATGAACACTCTTAGCTAAAGAAGAGAGTAGAAGCAGAAGTTTTGTAGCTGAAAACTATACTGGAATTCCTTCGTTTCTCACTGTGTAAAAATGCTACTGTTCTACCTCTCTTTATATAGGGATGTTGGAAGGGATAGCATTCAACATGGCCTTTAATTGGTATTAAACCAATTGTATAACACCTGTAACGGTCACCCACTAAGTAGGATTAAACTCAGAATTTAAAATTGGAATTAAAACAGTATTAATTTCGTAACAGATGAGTTTAATCTGTACAATAGTCTGAACTTTCGGGTTTCAGACCGTTGGGGTGCAGGTTCACACGAGAGCACACGGACCAGGCAACACGAGAGTACATCTCTCGTGCGCACTGTGGTGCAACCCGAGAGTGCACTACTCTCGTGGTCACAGATGCACGTGAGTTGTGCTCTCGGTGCACGATACCGAAGTTTGGCATAACATAGCCCACAAGGCCAGCCAATTTCCGGACGACATTCGTGCCCGCAGGTGCCGGTGCACGATACCGAAGTTTGGCATAACTTATGCCCGCAAGGCCAGCCAATTTCCGGACGACATTCGTGCACGCAAGCTCGGGCTTGAATCAAGCCTTTTCGATCTCCTCTAGTTGGATTTTGATTTGCACCCCACCCACCCCCCCTCCCCCCGCGCGAGAGCCTCTATGCTATACAATTCTACAAGCTTCAAAAGAGCTCATGTATATAAGGAGGGCAAATCTTGTTTCCAAACCAATGTGGGACAAAGTCCCCTATTTTCCCTTCATTTCCCAACTCAAATGGGTCTACTTTGAGAATCAATATCTCATTCACCCATTATCCGTTTTGAGCGTACAATATATCAATCTCTTCGTCTCACTACGAAGAACCCGAATCCACTTTGACTCGACCCAAATCGGAAGTGGACCCCACTGATAATTGTACCACAAAATAGCCACTTAATATGCCATTTTATGCCATTTTAAGCTAATTTTTCCAACATATATATACAATTATACCTACTTTCTGTTATGCTCGTATAAACAGTGGCGGAGTCAGAAAATTCATGTAAGTAGGGCCAGGATCATGGAAAAAAGTTACAATACCGGCCAATTAATAACAGTACCGGTCATACATGATATCATTATATATACCATATATTATCGATAGTAATTTATAATGATACTTTATGTAATTGATTGATGTTAATTGATACTTTATAATTTTTCACATAACACCACATATATACAATATCAATCTTGCTTGTCACACTTTTATCAAATAAAAGTTTTCAATTATTTTGTTGGCATCCTATCATTTTTTTTTTACATAA